TTTAATTATTCCCCTGGACATTATGTACAAATCAATAGCTATCATTCTACAACGAAGTAGACATTATTGGTGATTTTCACAAGAACTGTACATTGAGTACCGGGGGTACTGTTTAAAAGACATCCTAGGGGTACTGGTAAGTATGTACATAAAATATGAACATCATCCCTTTGATATAGTTTATATAGAAATTGTTTGGCAATTGTTAAAAACAATGTGTAGGCAAGTTTCAATGCAATCATTATTTTATAATATTGACTTGTATTTACAAGCGAACATTACCCATACTGCACATGCTGATTCTGGATATGTGAATACACGTACACGAACAGCCAATCGAATATGATCACCTCGACAGGTAAGGATTTCTTCGCAAACTGGAGATCTGTAAAAGAGAACCAATATTATCGATAGTGTCAATCAAGATCTTTAAGCCATGTGAATAATGAATCAGTTGTTGATAAACCTGTACATACAAAGTCCTATAATTAGGACCCTATGCAACAAATGGTTCAGTCTTACTACGTATTAAAACAAATGTGAGCCAGATTAGACTAGATTAAGTCTATTTTCATGCTGGTGAATGTCAATGGTCCAATCTCAGTTCACCCTCACTGATGTCTGCATTCTGCTAAGAACGATACATTACATATTTCCAAAATTTGGCATACATGCACAATCATGTATCATTAAAATCAATAATCTCTACTTTGGGGGCTTTGAAATGTCCCAACAACATGGCTATGTTTCTGTGTGTACATAAAAATGTGAAAAAAAAATTGCTCAGTACCTAAGACAAGTCGCAAATGCTCTTCTTGCATTTCGATGTACAAACTGAATAGGAAATCCTTTAAAGGTGTGTCCATCTGGGACAGCCCTGCGTATAGCTTGTTGGAACTCTTCATTACCAGCTGTAAGACCAGTGGTTCGTTCCAATTCATATGCAGCTAAAGCTGGAGATAACAGATAACACAACTCGTCATCCCACACACATGTTAAACCCATATCCTATAAATTAAAAAAATAAATCAAATGTGAATCTTTTTATTTTAACAAAAAAAATGTGTCAGCAGGTTAGACTATATACCGGTAATCCATGTGACGCAGGTAAATAACAGTGAAGTAATAATGAGACATCATGAATTACCATCTCAGTCTGATTTTTATGATATGGTTATCAGTTGTCTGTACTCCGGGTCCTCATATTTCACATTTGAATTCATATAAGTAATTAACTTATAAATAGTTACATGACATGAATACTAGAAAGAAAACTGAGTACGGGATTGCAACAAGACACACTAGCTGCAATTATGGTATGGCAGCCAACATGTCCACTGTGCAGATAAAGTTGCATGAAGTGAAAAAGGTTCATAATATTTTGAATAAAAGGTGATCAGGCAATTCATTAAAGTTCTTAGAAATTGCAGATACTTTGTCTATTACTATACAAGGTCATATGTGAAACAAAAAATTTGGCTCATAGAACCACATTTTTTAGATAAATATTACTTTATGCTAATTACGAAGTTAACACATTGAACTCTACGGAGACAAATTGAAACATGATTGGTTCAATTATTTTTTTAAAACTCAAGTATCAAGCTTGAAGTTGGTAATTTAGCATCATATCAATTACTGTCTTGATATAGATTGTATATAATGCAAACAAATTCCTGGATATATAGATGTTAAGATACATGTATGGTTCTGGGCAGTCACAATCAATCAGAGGATAATGCAGTGATGCACACATCTATCATGGTACAAACACCGTATTTACACTATTAGTAGCATAATTCTCTTACATAAATGGAAGAGTTGTGTCTATGGTCAAAATAAGTCATATTTTAATGATCAAGTATACAATATATTCAATATTTAGTTGATGTGCTCATCTTATAGAGATGTACCGAGTATTACAAAGTATGCTATAGTTTCATCATCTAACAATCCAGATGGTTGACAAGATTTGATTACAATAAAGGAATGTTTGTATGATTAAAATTGGACATTGAAAGTCCGGAAAACACTAACACACAGATTAGTAGTCAGACATAACATTGCTACATAATAATCTAAATCCTGTATGTAACAGTATGGCAGAGCTGCATGTTACTTACCCTTCTCTGGTCAGCAGTAAGTGCCCTTAGTTGTAGTTCAAGTTCATTGCTGACCAGTGCAGCATCTAATGATGATGGTACAAGAGGGATCACATTAGGCCAACTGGGCTGTGAAAACAACAACACTTCAATATTTAGTAGATATAAATTTGCTGTGAAGACAAAAACAT